CAAAACGTTTCATAAACGGAAGCAAGCAGAACGAAACGGGGAGGGACTGACCTGAATTTGTCCAATAGAAACTCCAAACAGTTGCAAAACGTTCCGTTGTGAAACAGAATCGGTGGAATGAATACACCCTAGGGCATTACTTGTTGAGACAGCTATGGGAAAAACAGACAAGTAACTCTTAGAAGTAAAGATGCTATCTAGAACCCTAAAGGTTCCAGGCAGAACCTTTCCACCAAACAAAGAACCCTCAAAAGAACCCTTTACGAACGAAAAAGTGTTCTACAAGAACAACAAAAATTCTGGGAATTCCATCAGGCCTAATTGTGGTTTGGACAGAGGGCAGGGAAACCCTTTTTATTGGGTCACATTGGCAAAGGAAGCTGTTGTAGACTATCTAATGATGGGATTAATGGGCGATTGGTTCAGTAACTAATGACTAGCATGAGATTACCTGGGCTTGGCTGGGTAGAGTTTAGTGGCACGCTGCTTCAACCATAGAAAAAGTATTAATTCTATGGCTTCAACAGTGTGCACCAGCAGCCCTGGGACTTAGCCTTTTCTATCTATGTAGACTTGTTGGTGCCATTCTTTTCCCCAGTTTGGAAACCCCTCTGTCATTAAGTCTCGATTATGGATTTGAACCATGGATTGCATGGTTTAAATCCCCCACCACCACCCTGATAGTTAAATATTTTTATTTTACATATTTGGACATATACAGTGCATTCGTAAAGTATTCAGACCCTTTGACTTTTTCCACATTGTTACGTTATAGCCTTATTATAAATTGGATTACATTTTCCCCTCAATCTAAACACAATACCCCATAATGACAAAGCGAAAACAGGTTTATTTTAATGTTTTGCAAATGTATTACAAATAAAAAACAGAAATACCTTATTTACATAAATATTCAGACCATTTGCTTTGAGACTCGAAATTGAGCTCAGGTGCATCCTGTTTCCATTGATCATCCTTGAGAGGTTTCTACAACTTGATTGGAGTCCACCTGTGGTAAATTCAATTGATTGGACATGATTTAGAAAGGTACACACCTGTCTATATAAGGTCCCACAGTTGACAGTGTATGTCACAGCAAAAACCAAGCCATGAGGTTGAAGGAATTGTCCGTAGAGCTCCGAGACATGATTGTGTCGAGGCACAGATCTGGGGAAGGGTACCAAAACATTTCTGCAGCATTGAAGGTACCCAAGAAGAGTGGCCTCCATCATTCTTAAATGGAAGACGTTTGGAACCACCAAGACTTCCTAGAGCTGGCCGCCTGGCCAAACTGAGCAATCAGGGGACGAGGGCCTTGGTCAGGGAGGTGACCAAGAACCCGACGGTCACTCTGACAGAGCTCCAGAGTTCCTCTGTGGAGATGGGAGAATGTTCCAGAAGGACAACCATCTCTGCAGCACTCCACCAATCTGGCCTTTATGGTAGAGTGGCCAGACAAAAGCCACTCCTCAGTAAAAGGCACATGACAGCTCGCTTGGAGTTTGCCAAAAGGCACCTAAAGGACTCTCACACAATGAGAAACAAGATTTTCTGGTCTGATGAAACCAAGATTGAACTCTTTGGCCTGAATGCCAAGCGTCACGTCTGGAGGAAACCTGGCACCATCCCTACGGTGAAGCATGGTGGTGGCAGCATCATGCTGTGGGGATGTTTTTCAGTGGCAGGGACTGGGAGACTAGTCAGGATCAAGGGAAAGATGAACAGAACACAGAGAGATCCTTGATGAAAACCTGCTCCAGAGCGCTCAGGACCTCAGACTGGGGCGAAGGTTCACCTTCCAACAGGACGACGACACTAAGCACACAGCCAAGACAATGCAGGAGTGGCTTCGGGACAAGTCTCTGAATGTCCTTGAGTGGCCCAGCCAGAGCACGGACTTGAACCCGAGCGAACATCTCTGGAGAGACCCAAAAATAGCTGTGCAGCGACGCTCCCCATCCAACCTGACAGAGGTTGAGAGGACCTGCAGAGAAGAATGGGACAAACTCCCCAAATACAGGTGGTGCCAAGCTTGTAGCATCGTACCCAAGAAGACTCGAGGCTGTAATCGCTGCCAAAGGTTCTTCAACAAAGTACTGAGTAAAGGGTCTGAATACTTATGTAAATGTCATTTCAGTTTATTTTTTATTTTGAATTTGCAAATATTTCTAAACCTGTTTTGCTTTGTCATTATGGGGTATTGCGTGTAGATTGATGAGGAGAAAAAAAAACGATTTAATCAATTTTAGAATAAGGCTGTAACGTAACAATATGTGGAAAAAGTCAAGGGGTCTGAATACTTTCCGAATGCACTGTAGATATTTGATCTTCATTTCAACACTATTGACAGCTAAAGGTAACCTAATTTTTAAAAAGCACACAGAACAATTACATTTATTATATAATCTATTCTACAAAAATCAACAGAAATACAATTTCCTTGTGCAGAAAAAATATGTACACCCCTATCATGAAATAACTTAATGTAGGCATTTATTGTTACTATCTATCAGTCTCTTCCTTCGACTGGGAGGAATTTGTACCCACTGTTCCTTACAGAATTGCTTCAACTGTGTGATGTTTGAGGTCTTTATTGCATGTACAGCCCGCTTCTAGTCCCCCCACAGCATTTATATAGGATTAAAGATCTGGGCTTTGACTCGGCCATTCCATAACCCTCCATTTCTTATTTTTGAGCCATTCTGTTGAGGATTTGCTCGAGTGTTTTGGATCAATTGTCCTGTTACAAGATCCATTTTCGGTTCAGCTTCAGCCTTTTGACAGATGTCCTCATATTCTCCTCAAGTATTCTCTTGTACAATGTGAATTGATGGTTGACTCAATGATGGCAAGCTGGCAGGCCCTGAAGCAGCAAAGCTGCCCTAAACCATAATGCCCCCTCCACCATGCTTCACGGTTGGTATAAGGATCTTCTGTTCAAAGGCAATGTTTTGCTTTCGCCAAACATGACGTCTGGCATTGCAGCCAAACAACTCCACCGTTGACTCGTCTGTCCAGAGCACATTGTTCCAGCAGTCTTGTTCTTCACTCAGGTGTGGTCTGGCAAACTTCAGTCATCCATTTATATTCTTTTTTTGAGAGCAGAGGCTTCTTCCTTCCTGACCTCCCACGTAGGCCAAGTTTGTGCAGTCTCTTTCTGACAGTTGACTCATGCACTTCGACATTGATTGTTGCAAGATGCCTGTAGATCCCTTGATGTTACCCTGGGGTTCTTAGAGACTTCTTTGAGCATCTTTCAGTCAGCTCTTGGGCTGATAGATTGCCAGTGGTCTGGAATTTTCTCCATTTGTAGATTATCCGTTGGACAGTGGAATGATCGACTTCAAATTGCTTGGAATTGGTTCTGTAACCCCTCCCAGACTATAGGCATCAACAATCTTTCTTCGGAGGGCCTCAGAGAGCTCTTTTGATCTTGGGCTATAACACACCTGTATGGTTAAGACCAAACCACACCAAGTTTCTGATCTTTATATACCCTCCAAGTTACTCTCTGATGGTGTTATAATCATTAGCACCTGTTTTGGTGCACCATATTCTAATTTTAGCCATTCATGGGATGATAAAGTAGAGGTGTACTAACTTTTTCCACACAAATGTCATTTCTGTTTATTTTAATTTCATCAATGATTGCAAAGTGTAATTTTTCACTGTTAAATGTTTGATTAGGTTACCTCTATTTGTCAATAGTTTGAAATGAACGTTAACTATCCATATGTCCAACTATATCAAAGATGTACTTTTTCACAGCACTGTACATACACAATTGCATGCATACTCCATAACACTGTTGCCAGTGATGGTATAGGGAGGGTTGGATCTGGTCTACACTCGAACAATAAAAGTATTGCCCTGGTGCAGTCAGACGACCTCAACCTATGCAACAAAGACTTGGACGTTTGAGGCCAAAGCTGCTTTTTTTGGAAGGGGAAAGCACCTAGCCTGATCCATCTCTTTTAACTTACAGTATCCAAGTGTTCATTTGCTGTTTCCATCACACACACACACCACATCACCATGGACTGGATAATGTCTCCCGTAGACGTCTTCACTCCAGGCAGAGTGAAGACACGATAGCCAAAGAGCTCCCTCTACAGTATGCAGAGAGAACAGCAGCCCTAAACAACATTTTCATCTATCAATGTACTAATCAAGAATGCCATAAAAAGCACGCAGTCATGGTCATTTCAGTTTTTAAATGTGTGTGTATATATATATTTGACATTAAAAACATGAGAACGACAGAATAACTAAAACATGGTGAGGTTGACATTCCAGCAGATAAATCTGCAACAGAGAGCGGGAGAGAATGTTTTGGGGGTGTTTAGAGAGGAATACACATTATGCTATGTAACCAAAACTACAAGACTCTCTGTTTAACAAACCTTAAAGGGGCGCCTCACCTCTTTTGAACCTCACATATTCATTATCTCTATCACCATACAGTACCAGCGTCTGTGAAATCAGCGTGTTTCTACATTCTGTAGTCAAAAAAGATGACTAAGAAAATTACTCCTGATGATGTCACATGGTGGAGTGCCTCTTTAATGACATGAGAACACAAGCAATGTGTCTGACATGATCTCAATGTTTGGTTTTTACTGCCTGCCTACCATCCCCTCCCAACATTACAACTCACCTCAGGGAGTCGACCTCTCTTTTATAGTCCCCTGTGAACAAAATCCCTTTGCTTTTAGTACTTCTGCTGCCTCAATGTCTGGGCTAGGGCTTGATTAGCTGGGAAAGTCACTTCTTCACATCACTTTTGTAGGCTGTTCTAGTGCTCCAGCACTGCAGTCACTGTGGCTGGGCTGAGTCACAGAGATGATCTGATCAGTGTCTGTATTAATAGGCCATCAATAGAAGAACCGAATTTGGCATTAGCAGTGTCAGCAGTTAGCAGTGCACACATTGGTTAGGTTATAGTCTTACATAATAACCATACAAATTTAATGAAAATGGTTTGCAAGTTATGATCAAAATTAAGGGTAATAGCAAAATAATAATAATAAGAAAATAAAATTCGGTCATCAAATAATGTGTCAACTTCACACTTTGTTTGAAGAAATTCAGCAAGTTCATGAATTTACAGCAGCAAAACAATGGGAGCACTTTGGGTTTAACAGTGGCCCAATGATAGCAAACATGATGACAGATTATGACAGTAAAAGCACAAAAATTAAATGGTCTCTCACCAATATAGAGAAAATAACAAAAGCTGAGAGAAAAATGTACAAATGGCTCTTTAACTAAATGTGTTATATCAAAGCTGAAATAAGTGAATAATAGCACGTCCTCTTGATATGGAATAACTGTTTGATCCAGATTGAAATTAGTATTATGTACAGCAGCTGAATGGTCGGTTGTCTGTCTTCTTCCATAGTTTAATTACAACATGTGTAAACACTTCACATTCCACCTAGCAATAATCCAACTGGGTGAAAGAGTCAGAATACAACTAAATAAGTAGAGTAGAAAACACAGAAGAGTAGTACCAGTCATGAACAGGGTGCATCTGTCACTCAAGTCTATGGAGGTCACAGGATTCAGATTTTGGAAAAACGTCTGCAGTTCATATAGGTAAACTCCAAGATAACATAGTAGTCAACTTTTAAGTTATTAGTGAGAGGGTTACGTCATTTCAACATAAAAAAAAAACACCCTCTTGACGTATAAAAGTGGGTGGACAATGTTCCCATAGACAACGCTAGTGAAGCAGAATAAACAACAACACAACCAAACAGAACACGGCCAATAAAAACCATGTGATCAGAAGGAAGAGAACATGGGCAGCTGCCAAGTAGACTCGTCTCCTGTCATGTGTCCGTCGAGCATACCACTCCTGTGACCTTTCACCTGCAAGTAGAAACGGAGTCCTGGACCTGGGATGGTGATGGGAACATGACCTATTGGCACTATCTCGCACCAGGAAGAGGTAGCTTCCTGGTTCTGTCGGCTACTATGGAGACGAGGAGGAGGAGTCAGTTAGTTAGTTAAGCGGGCGACATTCCGAAACTGCTGACTAACGTCCAAATAACGTCCAACACCGACAGTTCCACAGACCCACTGATGATATTAGTCTTCCTCCTCTTCTCCTCTGTCCAGTGTATGTAACTACGGGATGAAGCATAGATGAATGGTTCATCTTCCATGTGCATTAGTTAGTTCGTTTTGGGGTAGATCTTCTCGTAGAAGAAGTTCTGAGCCAGCAGGTAGAGTTCCCCGTCCTTCTCCCGGACGGCGTGAGCCCGGACAAACTGGAACTGCTCCAGGGCAAACTCATAGAACTCGTTCTCCATCTTCCAGATGGCCGACTGCTGCAGCTTGGCGATGGACTCCTTGGTGGGCGGCTTCTTTTCACTCGTCTTCCTCAGGTGGGATTTCTTCCCTGTGGGGGAAGGGGAATAGCTCATCACTACCAATCTAGGTCAACCCTTGCATTTTAGTTTTTAGTTAAAAATGGTAGGTAAAAAATATCTAATGTAATGTAGAGGCACTTGTATATTTTTTAGAGCTGTTAAAAGGTGAGAATTGGTCTCAAAGGGGAATAACAAGTGAAAATGTTGTTTTGTTTGCACATCACCTCTCATGTTGCAAAGGTACATCTACGTGCACGTTCAGAAATAGGTACATAATCATTCTACATACGATTTACAGAGACTCAAAATACATATTCCTCTATTTGAGTAGGCTGACACAACAATAAAAAAATAGCTTTAAATAGATAGAGAAAACAAATGAATCAATGACAAATCAATTTCTGCTTATTGATAAATAAAGTAATGAATAAAGTCATAATCTAAAACGTCATCGCAGGAGGCATGGGGGTGTCTCTGGTAGAGTACCTGTTTTGTAGAGCTCTGTGGCGCCCCTGAAGAAGCGTGGCAGCGCCGCCTCCAGCATCATAACAAAGTCCTCTAGCTCCTCTGTCACACCCACCAACAGGTACTCATTGACCAGGTTATACTTGGCCTGCTCCAGGGCCCAGTGACTGCCCACGTTCCTACAAGAGATGTCAATCAATCATGTAATCAATCAAATGCATTTATAAAGTTCTTTTTACATCAGCTGTACATCAGATGTTGTTTAGATCAAGCAAAATAGGCTAGTCTCACATTCTCAACAGATGAGAGACAGAGAGAGAGAGAGAGAGAGAGAGAGAGAGAGAGAGAGAGAGAGAGAGAGAGAGAGAGAGAGAGAGATAGAGACAGAGAGAGAGATAGAGACAGAGAGAGAGATAGAGACAGAGAGAGAGAGAGAGAGACAGAGAGACAGAGAGACAGAGAGACAGAGAGAGAGAGAAAAAGAAAATGAACGCCTCTAGAAAAGAAAGACATGCAATATAGCGTGTCTAATGGAGGTAAGTTAGATGTTAAAGGGGTTCACGTTTGGTGTCCTACTGTCAATATACCAGCCCATTAAGGAGTGTGTAATGGGGTTATAGGTTAAGAATGCTTGGTGTGGATGTAACTTAAGGAGTGGTACATACCAGCACTCTGAGTAGTGACCACAGAAGAAGGGGATCTGCAGCCACAGCTTTTCCGGGGCGCAGTCTGAGCCTGACGCCGACACACACTCATCAAAGGTCTGAAACACACATCAACGACAATCAAAGACAGTATTACCTATGGAAGCGTGTTCTACTGTTAAAATACATTGTATATAATGCTGCTAATGAATAAAATTGCATTATTCTTTCCTCAGTGGAACCTTAAAGTAACTATCTGGGACTGGGAATCTGCATTAGTTTGCTGGGATCTCTTTCTCTCCCAGATTGTAGCTTCAGTGTAGGCAGCAATGCCCATTTTATTTACAATCATTTAAACTATATTTTACAGTGTTAATCACTAATACACTAGCTGGTACAAAATAATGCAGAGGATCGCAGACTGACCTTCTTATCCCCCTGTTTCCGGCGCCGCAGGCCGGGCCGGTAGTCATCCCCAAAACGCAGGAAGTAGTAGTAGGACACCAGGCGCTCGATGGGGTCCCGGATCACATTGATGTAGATGGGCTTCTTCTTTACTCCAAACCTGGGTCAAAACAGAGAGGTAGTGTTAGAATAAATTGTATAATGATGCACTACCCGTATGTTATGATGCGCTACCCGTATGTTACGATGCGCTACCCCGTATGTTACGATGCGCTACCCATATGTTACGATGCGCTACCCCGTATGTTACGATGCGCTACCCGTATGTTACGATGCGCTACCCGTATGTTACGATGCGCTACCCCGTATGTTACGATGCGCTACCCGTATGTTATGATGCGCTACCCGTATGATGCGCTCTTGTTGGCTGGTCCTCACTACATGTTCGTCGTCAAACCCACTGGCTCCAGGCCATCTATAAATCACTGCTAGGCAAATCCCCGCCTTATCTTAGCTCATTGGTCACCATAGCAGCACCCACCCGTAGTCTGCGCTCCAGCAGGTATATCTCACTGGTCATTCCCAGAGCCAAAACCTCCTTTGGCCGCCATTCCTTCCAGTTCTCTGCTGCCAATGACTGGAACGAATTGCAAAAATCTCTGAAGCTGGAGACTCTTATCTCCCTCAGTAACTTTAGGCATCAGTTGTCAGAGCACCTTACCAATCACTGCACCTGTACACAGCCCATCTGAAATTAGCCCACCCAACTACCTCATCCCTATATTGTTATTTATTTTGCTCTTTTGCACCCCAGTATCTCTATTTGCACATAATCTCTTGCACATCTAGCATTCCAGTGTTAATACTATTGTAATTATTCTGCACTATAGCCTATTTATTGCCTTACCTCCATAACTTGCTACATTTGCACACACTGTATATATATTTTCTGTTGTATTTCTGACTTTATGTTTTTTACCCCATATGTAACTCTGTGTTGTTTTTATTGCACTACTTTGCTTTATCTTGGCCAGGTCGCAGTTGTAAATGAGAACCTGTTCTCAACTGGCTTACCTGGTTAAATAAAGGTGAAAAAAAAAAAAAAAAAGTATGTTACGATGCGCTACCCGTATGTTACGATGCGCTACCCCGTATGTTACGATGCGCTACCCGTATGTTACGATGCGCTACCCCGTATGTTACGATGCGCTACCCCGTATGTTACGATGCGCTACCCGTATGTTACGATGCGCTACCCCGTATGTTACGATGCGCTACCCGTATGTTACGATGCGCTACCCGTATGTTACGATGCGCTACCCCGTATGTTACGATGCGCTACCCCGTATGTTACGATGCGCTACCCGTATGTTACGATGCGCTACCCGTATGTTACGATGCGCTACCCGTATGTTACGATGCGCTACCCCGTAGGTTACGATGCGCTACCCGTATGTTACGATGCGCTACCCGTATGTTACGATGCGCTACCCGTATGTTACGATGCGCTACCCGTATGTTACGATGCGCTACCCGTATGTTACGATGCGCTACCCGTATGTTACGATGCGCTACCCGTATGTTATGATGCGCTACCCGTATGTTACGATGCGCTACCCGTATTTTACGCATATCACAAAGATCATGTGTCATTAAATCTAAGATGATCTATGAATACATAAGATGTTCATCTGGGGCCTGTTCAATAGGGCAGTGTTGCAGATGTAAAGCTTCAACCTGCCATGACGCCACCCCTTTTCACATGATTTAAAGCCATATCCCTTCTATAGAGAGTTGCATTCTATCTGTGACGTTCTGAATGTTGCACTTTAATGTTGTATTAATGTAGTATTATATAAGACCACAAGGGGGAGACAGCAGCAAAAGTATATCTGGTAGGATGTGTTCTGCAGTGGTGGGGGGGCACTCACTTTGTAAAGTCCAGGAAAGAGACGTGACCGTGGTAGAACGCCGGCTTCATCTCCCTCCACTCTGTCACGTTCTTCACAAACCGCACCTGAGCAGGTAGACAAGACAATTAATACATGATATGTGCCAATGCAATCCGCTCTTCAGTATCACCCTGCCACTTTCCCCCCTCCCATTCGCTATCTATCCTTGTCTCTCATTCGCTCTCCCTCTGACTCTCTCTCTACGTCTCTCTCCCTCTTCCACAGAGGTCAAAACATTGCCACATTAGTGTGCGATCAGTGACGGCTGGTGTGACATTAAAACGGAGGACTGGCTCATGGTAATGGCTGGAATGGAATGAATGTAAGAAACCAATTGTTTGACATCTTTATATTAATTCCATTCCAGCCATTTCAATGAGCCTGTCCTACAATTTCTCCACCCTCCACTGTGTGTAATATTTTCTCTAATCAGCTACATATAGAGGGCCATTGACCCTTGAGATTTGCCTTGCAGCCTCACTCTCTCACCTGGTCCTGCATGGACATGACAGGGTTGTTCTTGGTGGTGTTGATGTGCAGCACATGGTAGTGGTTCTTGCCACACAGGTCGTAGGCAATGTTGGTGAAGGAGGTGCTGGCCGTCTTGGGCACGCGGTTGTAGATGACCACCACGTCCTCGCTGTCGGCCGCCGAGGGGGCCTCCCGCTCCCGCAGGCTGTCCTGTGTGTGCCGCTGCTCGATCTCACGCACCTCGTGCCTGGCGATGGCCCGCTCTGCCCAGAGGAAGAAGAGTTAAATGGATAGTTCACCCACATGAGAGCCTATATTTTGTTAGCAGGAGTATGCTAACAGTGGCCCTACCACTTCCATTGTTTCAGGCTCAACTATGCCAATACCACACACAGTATATACGGTATATACTGTATATACAGTGGGGAAAAAAAGTATTTAGTCAGCCACCAATTGTGCAAGTTCTCCCACTTAAAAAGATGAGAGAGGCCTGTAATTTTCATTATAGGTACACGTCAACTATGACAGACAAAATGAGATTTTTTTTCTCCAGAAAATCACATTGTTGGATTTTTAATGAATTGATTTGCAAATTATGGTGGAAAATAAGTATTTGGTCAATAACAAAAGTTTCTCAATACTTTGTTATATACCCTTTGTTGGCAATGACACAGGTCAAACGTTTTCTGTAAGTCTTCACAAGGTTTTCACACACTGTTGCTGGTATTTTGGCCCATTCCTCCATGCAGATCTCCTCTAGAGCAGTGATGTTTTGGGGCTGTCGCTGGGCAACACGGACTTTCAACTCCCTCCAAAGATTTTCTATGGGGTTGAGATCTGGAGACTGGCTAGGCCACTCCAGGACCTTGAAATGCTTCTTACGAAGCCACTCCTTCGTTGCCCGGGCGGTGTGTTTGGGATCATTGTCATGCTGAAAGACCCAGCCACGTTTCATCTTCAATGCCCTTGCTGATGGAAGGAGGTTTTCACTCAAAATCTCACGATACATGGCCCCATTCATTCTTTCCTTTTCACGGATCAGTCGTCCTGGTCCCTTTGCAGAAAAACAGCCCCAAAGCATGATGTTTCCACCCCCATGCTTCACAGTAGGTATGGTGTTCTTTGGATGCAACTCAGCATTCTTTGTCCTCCAAACACGACGAGTTGAGTTTTTACCCAAAAGTTCTATTTTGGTTTCATCTGACCATATGACATTCTCCCAATCCTCTTCTGGATCATCCAAATGCACTCTAGCAAACTTCAGACGGGCCTGGACATGTACTGGCTTAAGCAGGGGGACACGTCTGGCACTGCAGGATTTGAGTCCCTGGCGGCGTAGTGTGTTACTGATGGTAGGCTTTGTTACTTTGGTCCCAGCTCTCTGCAGGTCATTCACTAGGTCCCCCCGTGTGGTTCTGGGATTTTTGCTCACCGTTCTTGTGATCATTTTGACCCCACGGGGTGAGATCTTGCGTGGAGCCCCAGATCGAGGGAGATTATCAGTGGTCTTGTATGTCTTCCATTTCCTAATAATTGCTCCCACAGTTGATTTCTTCAAACCAAGCTGCTTACCTATTGCAGATTCAGTCTTCCCAGCCTGGTGCAGGTCTACAATTTTGTTTCTGGTGTCCTTTGACAGCTCTTTGGTCTTGGCCATAGTGGAGTTTGGAGTGTGACTGTTTGAGGTTGTGGACAGGTGTCTTTTATACTGATAACAAGTTCAAACAGGTGCCATTAATACAGGTAACGAGTGGAGGACAGAGGAGCCTCTTAAAGAAGAAGTTACAGGTCTGTGAGAGCCAGAAATCTTGCTTGTTTGTAGGTGACCAAATACTTATTTTCCACCATAATTTGCAAATAAATTCATTACAAATCCTACAATGTGATTTTCTGGATTTTTTTTCTCAATTTGTCTGTCATAGTTGATGTGTACCTATGATGAAAATTACAGGCCTCTCTCATCTTTTTAAGTGGGAGAACTTGCACAATTGGTGGCTGACTAAATACTTTTTTTCCCCACTGTACTGTATATAGGCCACTTTATATCTATAAAATGGGGTGCACTTGTAATTTAGGCGAACTATCCTTTTAACAGCCTTCTGCACCTAATATAAAGAACAGGGGAAAAAAAGATACTCACAAAATTCACTGAGAATACATTACATAGTATGAATAATACTCCAAGCCACAGCTTCATTATATTTGTCAAACATAGAGAACTGCTCCGGTAAACTGGCCTTTAGGGTGGGCTTGGTGTGGAGTCTGACCATTTATTTAGAGCCCTCATGTCTTAATCATTGTTTAAGAGATTCTCTGGTACTTTTGTATACTTTTTAGCCTGTAGTTCTGAAAGTAGAGCTCACGAGCCAAAAGTGGTCCCCGGAAATTGGGTACTACGTCACATAGGTGCGGATATGTGCACCACGTCATTGCTCTCTCTCTCACTACTGTGTGTGCATCTTGCTAGCTGTCACTTATATGGCAAGGGGCTGAAGCATATTGTCTAGAACTTGAATTGCTAGGGGGCTGGCCAAGTGGGGGAAAATGTAGGGAAAATGGCGCAGCACAGCTTCCAGAAAAACTAGGGACTTCGTGGCTAATTGAGGTAAGACAGTAATTCTGCTCCTAGATTCTGCATGTATGAACTAGGCATACACTGACACATCCAGTCCAAAGTGGGAGGTTAGAAAATACTTAGTAGTCGCCAAAGTTCCGGAGCATGTCTTTAAGAGGAGGTTTGGTCCAAATCGGATGTTGGGTACTATTTTATTGAATAATATATTAATCCTATAAATTGAAAATGGCCAATTTGGCTGCAATCAATTAGCTTAATTTCTCAGAGTTCAAATAATCTTTCAACAAAATAGCATTTCAGTAATGCTAATCTTATCTGTTTCTAACTACAGAAAAGATTTCAGAACAATCTGAGATGGTGGGTGTCGGAATCCTCTTTCTTCTTGCTTTTTGGAGGTGGAGTCCTTTGTGTCACACCACAGCTTCGACTCTATCCCTGTTCTATCTCGCCTCTGTGTAACTGTTAACAGATCTGTCTGAGCATGCATGGCCTAATAAGTCTCCTCTTTCTGGGAATGGGACTAGAGAACTACGTCTTCTCTATTTATAATTTACATTTTAGTCAATTAGCAGACGCTCTTTTCCAGAGCAACTTACAGGAGCAATTTGGGTCAAGTGCCTTGCTCAAGGGCACATCAACAGATGTTTCACCTAGTCGGCTTGGGGATTCAAACCAGCGACCTTTAGGTTACTGGCCCAAAGCTCTTGACCACTAGGCTACCTGCCGCCCTTACATTTCTATCTGATACAGCTACTGTATGTGACTAACCGTGAATAAACAGACAACGCTGTAGGCCTAAGCCATTTCCGTTTGGGTTTCCTATCCCAGGTCTAAATCAGTCTCAGATTGACTAGTGGTGACAATGGCTCAGATCTGTGCTGGAACATAACAACACTCCAGCATCTAATACTCATGGGAACGCCGAGCCGAGCCAAGCCAACCCAGGCCATGCAAGGCCATGCCTAGCCACGGAGACACGCTGGCAGCTGGTAGAGATTAAGATGTCATCTGTGATCACGCTGCACTCCCAACCCCCCAAGCCCCCTCTGCCATCCCCACGTACACCCCCCCCCCCCCCCCCCTTCTTACGCCCTCCCAGGCAGCTGCTAATGTCCCACTGATCAAAGCTAGCGCTAACCAACCGCACTAGCAACTGGTGCTAGCCACCATCCTGGGCTGTGACAGGTGGAAGTCTATGGTCGTCTGTCATCATGATGAACATAGATAAATATGGTCATAAGGAACACCCAGAATGTATAGCTAAGAGAGACGTCTATCCACACGTCACCTAAAGCACAAAGCCATAAAAGAGCTGTTATAGGACCATTACAATTTCATATAGGATCAGTTTCACCTTTTAAATCATAATGAATAAGATTATATGGACAGTTGGAGACCTGGTCCTAGATCAGCGCTTCCATTCTGATTGCAAGGCTGCGTTTAGACAGGCAGCCCAATTCTGATCTTTTTTTCACCAATTGGTCTTTTGACCAATCAGATCTGCTCTGAAAATGATCAAAATTGGGCTGCCTGTCTGAACGCAGCCTATGTGGAGCCCAGATCTCTAGGCCTTAGCCTATTCCCATGGCGTGTCCAAACATTAGAGACAGTAGTAACGGTCTGTAACAACTGAATCAGGATCAGCTCTCCCTAGCCCTAAAACATAATGAGCAGAACTTAAACAGGCCCCAAGCCACTAGTTAAGGGCATTGTGTTCAGTGCCAACAATTAACAGGAGATACAGCTTTATTGTAGTCCATTGTGTTGAACAAGCTTAGTTAAAACCCCACTGTGTCCGAGCAGAGGGCGCCAAACACACTTTAGCTAATGGTCGAGTCTGAGGTCATTTAATTACTGGACAAAGACCCGCTCTGTATAGATGAATCATTTCGGCCACACAGTATGATTCCATTCAGTCGCCATTTCCATTGGTTCCCCCTCGCCATTTCCAGCTAATTATGACCTATGGTCGAACTGGCAACACACTCTTAAACACTACAACAACTAAGCCGACGCCTATTATTCTGATTACATATTCTAAAACGCCGGCCGAGATAGCAATATTTACTAAAAACAATTTCACGCTTGATTAGAATTGTCCATTTCCAATCATCATTCATTTTTGGCGGGAAATCCGTGAATATGACAGTTTGTCGTGTGTTATGGTGTCTCATATGATCTTCCGGGATAATAAAAACAGAGGAGAGGATGATCCTTTCTCCAGGCAGCTCATACATCCATCATCCTCCACAGCTCTTCATCCCTGAGCGGGTTAGCCCCTCGAGCACAAGGCTGAGGAGTAATAGAGAGCCTGAGAGGTAATGCCTTGTATGGATCTGCTTCAGTAGCGCTGGATTGCAAAATCAATGGAGTATGACAGGGAGGAGATCTAGGTTGCTGCTGTAAAAAAAAAAATTTGAAGTGGTGTTTAAAAATATATATATACAGTAAGCTTCGATGCGGCCTGTGGTGTGTTTCCTGTGGGACAATTAGGTGCATGACACTCAATTATATCTCTTACGGCGCACCTGCAATATTTGTTTACCGGAGTGCATACACAGCCAGGTGGTAATAGGAGTGTGTGATTAGTAATTTCAAGCATATTGGACAAGGGACCCATGGGCTAGCCTTTCACAGCTGCAGGAACTGGGAGCCTGTTCAACTAAATGCTTCCTCAATGACTGTACAGAACTACTGTTTCAAACAAATGCATGACAGACACAGACACCTCATCACAATCTTGCAGTGTTTGCAAATAAATGACAGAGGCACCATGAGTTACAACTTAATTCCTTTAAGTGCTCTTTTTAGGACAGATTAACGTAGCTGGGGGGGGGGGGGGGTTCCTGGCTTGGAGACAACTGCTGCATTGATGGCCCATGAAAGCTCTCATTCACGTCTAGCCTGGCGGCTAAGGTCTAGACAGCTGGGAAAGAGACGACTGGGCCGAGCCGGGTGAGGACACAAGGCAGAAAATGAGAAACGACACTGATGGCTAGTACAGCCTAGCCCAAGCAAGTGGAGATATTTCGCTGGTATCAACAGAGGTGCAGTGGAAAACGAGTAACCAAGCACTCACATGCCCTATTTCCACATGCCAATACAAATCTGGTATGTGGAAGTAGAATATTTCTCAGGGACAAGGTATCTTGTTAAGTAGTCTATTTTCCTCATGGGAGAATACACAAGCCTCTATCAGCAGACAAAACATGCCCTCTGCAGTCCGTTTTTAGGTAGGTTCTTGATTGGGAAAAAGGTATTATGATGGGACTGACTAGAACCGTATTACAGCATCAATACGAGTATCACAATAGAGTGCATTGGTCACACCCCGTGGTAGTGGACGTTACCAATGGTAGGGTTTTAGAAGCCCTCTTGGCCGCAGAGACAAAATGTTGCGGTTTTAAAGCAAATGTCCTGCAATTCTACACATTTTGCCATGGCTTATGCCAGTGGTCACCAACCGGTCGAGCGATCGACTTGTCGGTCTTTTAGGCATTCCTAGTCGATCACCAACATGTCTGTAGAACATTTTTATTTGATTTGACTTTGTGCTTTTGGCAGAAGGTGCACTTGATTCAGAAGCCATGTGCGCCGGGTAGACAAAGTGTTCGCATTTTTAACCATTTCATTTGTCTGAAGCGACAAACTCCACCTACCCGACGGACCAGGAGAGCTGTAGTTAAATCAAGTGTGCCTACTGCGCTGGCCAATCGGATAGCTCCAATCACCATGCCTATAGCTTCCAGGACCCCACAGCTAAGTTTGATACTAGCCTGCATGAGATTTCATAACTTTTAAAACCATGACTAGAGAGAAACTGTCAATGAATACAGCAAAGAGCTGCTGTTTTTATGAGTTCGTTTTCTATTTTTTATTCAGCACTGTCAACACTTTTTATTCACATAACACGCGCTTCTCACGACCTCCTCTTGCGCCGCAACTGCAAAGAATTAGTAGCCAAGTGTTTCGATAGGCCTGCGTTTTTATTATTATTAGCAGCTCGTCATGTGTATTTTAATATCGAGGAATATTTCACTTTCTCTAGTCAAAGGAACAACATGAATTTGAGCAGGAGATAGAAATAATGCGGTGCGATTCGAGTTTTGCCATCAGTGGGAGGACGGTGTCCCTTCTCTGGTCAAAGGAGAGAACAGGGACAGTGAGAGGCGGACCTCTTCTTCTCTCTCCCTCCCTCCGCTGAGACTGACCATCAGATGCAGGTACCATCATTCCAGTTCAATATAAAAGCAAATTATTTCAATTTATGCAAAGCTGTGCCTCGCAAGTGATACAACAACTGATCTATTTTGTTATCAAAGCTTGAGTTTTGAAATATAATATGGTCTTAGAATAACAATATTAGCAGACCAAGCACATAGCCAATATGCTGTGATAATATATTAGGCGACCACGGGCTTATGCTATCTGAGTAACTCAAACATTATAACAGAAATCAATGGTGCCCCATGCCATGGCATTTTTGGAATTGTTTATTCTCCCGTATAGTGGTGATTGTTAGTTCTCAAAGATGATCTTATTTAAAAAATGTATTGTTCCATTATATTTTATACATACTTTACATCTAGTTTTAGTCCTTTAAGTTTACACTGAAAACGTTTTACCATCCCGAAAATTATTACGGTTAGTTTATGCTACACTGAACAAAAATATAAAACACAACATGCAACAATTTCAAAGATTTTACTGAGTTACAGTTCATATAAGGAAATCAGTCAATTGAAATAAATTAGTTAGGCCCTAATCTATGGATTTCACATGACTGGGAATCCAGATAAGCGTCTATTGGTCAAAGAAACCTTTTTTTTATTTTTTTTATAGGGCCGTGGACCACCATTTGCCTCATGCAGCAGGACACATCTCCTTCGCATAAAGTTGATCAGGCTGTTGATTGTGGCCTGTGGAATATTGTCCAACTCATCTTCAATGGCTGTGTGAAGTTCCTGGATATTGGCGGGAACTGGAACACGCTGTCGTACACATCGATCCAGAGCATCCCAAACATGCTCAATGGGTGACATGTCTGGTGAGCATGCAAGCCATGGAAGAACTGGGACATTTTCAGATTCCTTGGGACATGGGGCCGTGCATTATCATGCTGAAACATGAGGTGATGGCGGCGGGTGAATGGCATGACAATGGGCCTCAGGATTTCGTTACGGTATCTCTGTGCATTCAAATCGGCATTGATAAAACGCAAATGTGTTTGTTGTCCTTAGCTTATGCCTGCCCATACCATAACCCCACCATGGAGCACTCTCTTCACAACGTTGACATCAGCAAACGGCTCACCCACACACGCTGTCTGCCATCTGCCATCTGCCCGGTACAGTTGAAACCGGGATTCATCTGTGAAGAACACACTTTTCCAGCGTGCCAGTGGCCATCGAAGGTGAGCATTTGCCCACTGAAGTCAGTTAGAACGGCGAACTGCAGTCAGCTTAAGACCCTGGTGAGGATGACGAGCACGCAGATGAGCTTCCCCGAGATGGTTTCTGACAGTTTGTGCAGAAATTCTTCGGTTGTCCAAACACACAGTTTCATCAGCTGTCCGGGTGGCTGGTCTCAGATGATCCCGCAGGTGAAGAAGCTGGATGTGGAGGTCCTGGGCTGGCGTGGTTACACGTGGTCTGCGGTTGTGAGGCCGGTTGGACATACTGCCAAATTCTCTAAAACGACGTTGGAGGTCACTTATGCTAGAGAAATGAACATTCAATTCTCTGGCAACATCTCTGGTGGACATTCCTGCAGTCAGCATGCCAATTGCACTTGTAAGCTTTTTGGCTACTGTATCACTGCAAGCTTAGCACAGAGACACTGGTACCTTAATGCTAACGTAAGGTACTAAACCCTACCATTTTTCTTAGCAATCAAAGCTCATTTTATCTGACAAGGTGAGCTCATATGATCTCGAAAAAAAGACAGCTTCAGTTTCGTCCATCAAAAACTGGCAGTTATTTGAGATGATAATTTACACAGATGGCAGGCTTTACAGATTAATAATTATATGCCTTGTCAAGGGCTGCTCTGTGGGGTGGACAATTGATTTGACTGGATCTCTTGGCAGGACTTGTCATTGACTAAGCAGGGCAATTAGCCTACTGCTGGAAATATGGGGAAAATATCAGGTTATCGCAATAGTACCATCTATCCAGAATCACACTGGAAGAGAGACAGCAGCGAATTATCCATGTCCACCACCACTTAAGAAATGGTAAGGCAAACTGCATTACCGTCCGCTATCCAAATGTTTAAAAAAACTAAATACATCCCAGAAATAAACAGCTTCCATAACAATGTAGATGTGGGCTAGTTACAACACAGACATCTGATTCTCTCCTCCATAAGTGTTAATAATGCATAGACAGGAGTCCAGGGAAAACTCCACAAATGTTTGGGCAATGCTGAGGGCAGCTATTTATAGGACAGATGAGGAGTGGCTGGACAGGTTAATAGGACCCAAAGCTCCACAGAGGAAGCCCAACAGAGAACTCCTTCTCCGCAATGAAAAATGATGTGAGATCAGAACCATTATCGGCTGTCATGGTAACCAAGTAAGAAGAAGGAAACGGACACCAAATATGTTCCTCTATGGTCACAAGTGGTTCTGAATACTACTCCTCAATAACTATTGCCTGATTAAAACCAGACTGAACAATGGAGAGCGCAGCATTCAGTCTGGTTTAACCAGGCTACATGAACTACGGCAGCGGCTAATGAATTGATTGAGATCATTCATGAACAAGAACATCTCGAGTGTTCCAACTGGCCTTTCTGTGACACACCATTTCTGTGGTAAGAGGCTGTCCCCACTCCCCAGAGAGTCTAGGCACACAGTGTGCGAGACTGCCAACACTCACAGTGCATTGCAATACTGAAGAGAAAGTCTGACAAGGAGCGCAGGCCAGAGCAGCAGCGAAACTTTCAGTTCCCCCCCAGAGCTGATAGTACAAGACTACCACACCAGATGAAAGCCAGGATACCACAGTATGAGTCATAATACCCATAAAACATAGCGGTCAAACAGGGAAATGGTTCCAATCATTTATCCACCATTCATTTTTCCCATAGGGGATTTTAGAAACACTTAAAATAAGGGTTGTGTTTCATGTAGGCTTACCCTGGCGTGACGTTTTGATAACCGTGTAAATCTCTAAGACAAGGTGACTTTTATCAATATATTCGCCTGTATTTACCCCCCAAAAATGAAACGTTAATTATCTGCTAATGTGGCTATCATAAAGAACTACAAATGCCATGATGATCTGGAAGACACTGCCGAATCGAGGCTAAGGTAAGAATCTAATGTTAGCTAAATGTAGTAATGAATAAATTGGCTACATTTCTTTAAAAATTGACAATTCTGTGAACTGTCTTGTGTAAGTTTTAAATTGACACAATACCTGTTAGCAAAGGTGTCAGCTAGAGATGACGTGCAGGAGCTTGCAGGGATTTGTAGTTTTGCATGATGTCTACTTTGATGCTAATTAGCATTTTTGAATCAGAGTAAATAGAGATTCATATATTGATAAAAGTCACCTTGTCCGAGAGAGATTTACATGGTTATCAAAACGTCACACCAGGGTAAACCTACACGAAACACAGCCCTTATTTTAAGTGTTTCTAAAATCCCCTGAGGGAAAAATGAATGGTGTAAAAACGATTGGAAAACTTTCCCTGTTTGACCGCTAGGTTTTATGGGTATTATGACACCTCCACTGTGGGGCTCTATTCAGCTGCTGTATACAAGGTGGAAGTTAAATGCAAGGCAGAAGGAGCGGAACAGTTCAGCCTTATTCCTCTATTCTCTGATGAAATTGGTTTTAAAACGCTGCAGGCATGTTTCTCTCCCCTCCTTTTGTTAAGGCTTATGATGTGAGCAGCCAGGGGTTTAAATATTTCTGTGTTGAGATGAAAATTAAATCTCTCCCCCCACCCCCCGCAGCTTTGAAGAGGAAGATAGGTCTTTCCCAATTTCCAACTTCCATCCAAAGGCTGTTTGGCCACAGGGGATTATCATCTTGCACTGCAGTAGCATCCCAAGCTCCAGATAATGAGGCTGTTTATGGTTATTGATTAGCAAAGGAAGGACTCTGATGAAAAGTAATATAATTATCAGTTATAATGCAGCGCCCGACTACAGAAGCTCTGTTACAGCTGGGTCTTTCAGAGGGATGTTGATCAGTGTTATAAAAGCGATAAGTCACCCGCCTCGAATAAACGACACCTGCTTTCACGCATGCTTAGGCACACCGACCGCATCGTTCGTCAAACCCCTTGGAAACCGACAAGGGAACACTGCGGTGCGAGGAGAGCGGTCTCAATTACACTCTGGGGTGCGAAACAGTTCATAGCACCGTGATTAGCCTGTCAGTCATCCGCAACTGTGCACGGAAATGTAGCACAGAACATCACGGGAAAACATTCTTCTTTAAAAGTGCCAGCCAATGCCCATAAATACACCAATCAGGGCCCTAACTGCTCGAGCTTAGGGCCATTAGTACTCTGCCCATACCAAATCCATTCCTGACACCTGTGTTTCCACAGTGGGATCCAATCCATTAGGCACTCAAATGGCATGTTTCAGAGTGCTGAGACACTTAGAGATGTACAGTAGCCACTCTTTAGTGAATACCAGCAGACTGACAGTGTATGACTCCATTATATAACCCTGGGGAGGCTAAAAACAGCTTCATGGTGTCAAAAGGAGTTCAAAGGCAATCTGAGTGCTCCGGATAATGGCAAAAAATAGAAAGTGCAGGAGTTGAACTTGGTAAGTAAGGAGATAGCTGAGGTGTGAACTTGGTGACGCAAGAGTTTGATCAGAGGGATTCAAGTTGGCCACTTCTCAATTAATCTACTAACGAGGCCAAATGAATGACAACCAGGTCTTGACCAGAACCACACATTTACATATAGGCCTACTTGATACATGTGTGTAATTGACTATTGACACCAACGGAAGAGTTGGTCTTTGAGAAGAAGTTAATGCTAAGCTACGGGACTGTTTTGCTAGCACAGACTGGAATATGTTCCGGGATTCTTCCAATGGCATTGAGGAGTACACCCCATCAGTCACTGGCTTCATCAATAAGTGCATCGATGACATCTTCCCAACAGTGACTGTACGTACATACCCCAACCAGATACCATGGATTACAGGCAACATCCACACTGAGCTAAAAGGGTAGAGCCGCCGCTTTCAAGGAGCGAGACTCTAACCCGGAAGCTTATAAGAAATCCCGCTATGCCCTCCGACGAACCATCAAACAGGCAAAGCGTCAATACAGGACTAAGATCGAAACATACTACACCGGTTCCGACGCTCGTCGGATGTGGCAGGACTTGCAAACTATTACAGACTACAAAGGGAAGCACAGCCGCGAGCTGCCCAGTGACACAAGCCTACCAGACAAGCTAAATTACCTCTATGCTCGCTTCGAAGCAAGTAACACTGAAACATGCATGAGAGCATCAGCTGTTCCGGACGACTGTGTGATCACACTCTCCGTAGCCGATGTGAGTAAGACCTTTAAACAGGTCAACATTCACAAGGCCGCAGGGCCAGACGGATTACCAGGACGTGTACTCCGAGCATGCGCTGACCAACTGGCAAGTGTCTTCACTGACATTTTCAACCTCTCCCTGTCTGAGTCTGTAATACCAACATGTTTCATGCAGACCACCATAGTCCCTGTGCCCAAGAACACTAAGGTAACCTGCCTAAATTACTACCCACCCGTAGCACTCACGTCTGTAGCCATGAAGTGCTTTGAAAGGCTGGTCATGGCTCACATCAACACCATTATCCCAGAAACCCTAGACCCACTCCAATTTGTATACCGCCCCAACAGATCCACAGATTATGCAATCTCTATTGCGCTCCACACTGCCCTTTCACACCTGGACAAAAGGAACACCTATGTGAGAATGCTATTCATTGACTACATCTCAGCGTTCAATACCATAGTGCCCTCAAAGCTCATCACTAAGCTAAGGTTCCTGGGACTAAACACCTCCTTTTGCAACTGGATCCTGGACTTCCTGACGGTCTGCCCCCAGGTGTTAAGGGTAGGTAACAACACATCCGCCACGCTGATCCTCAACACGGAGGCCCCTCAGGGGTGCGTGCTCAGTTCCCTCCTGTACTCCCTGTTCACTCATGACTGCATGGCCAGGCACGACTCCAACACCATCATTAAGTTTGCCGATGACACAAGTGGTAGGCCTGATCACAGACAACGACGAGACAGCCTATAGGGAGGAGACCTGGCCGTGTGGTGCCAGGATAACAACCTCTCCCTCAACGTGATCAAGACAAAGGAGATGATTGTAGACTACAGGAAAAAGAACACGCCCCCATTCTCATCGACGGGGCTGTAGTGGAGCAGGTTGAGAGCTTCAAGTTCCTTGGTGTCCACATCACCAACAAACTAACATGGTCCAAGCACACCAAGACAGTTGTGAAGAGGGCACGACAAAACCTATTTCCCCTAAGGAGACTGGAAAGATTTAGCATGGGTCTTCAGATCCTCAAAAAGTTATACAGCTGCACCATCGAGAGCATCCTGACTAGTTGCATCACCGCCTGGTATGGCAACTGCTCGGCCTCCGACCGCAAGGCACTACAGAGGGTAGTGCGTACGGCCCAGTACATTACTGGGGCCAAGCTTCCTGCCATCCAGGACCTCTATACCAGGCAGTGTCAGAGGAAGGCCCTAAAAAGTCCAGCCACCATAGTCATAGACTGTTCTCTCTGCTACCGCACGGCAAGCGTTACCGGAGCGCCAAGTCTAGGTCCAAAAGGCTTCTTAACAGCTTCTACCCCCAAGCTATAAGACTCCTGAACAGCTAATCATGGCTACCTGGACTATTTGCATTGCTATTATGCTGCTGCTACTCTCTGTTTATTATCTATGTATAGTCACTTTATTAATTCTACCTACATGTACATATTACCTCAATTACCTCGACTAACCGGTGCCCCTGCACATTGACCCGGTACCGGTACCCCCCTGTATATAGCCTCGCTATTGTTATTTTTACTGCTGCTCTTTAATTATTTGTTACTTTTATTTCATATTATTTTATATTGTATTCTTTTGTGATTTTTTTTTTGGTATTCTTTCTTAAAACTGCATTGTTGGTTAAGGGCTTGTAAGTAAGCACTTCACTGTAAGGTCTACACCTGTTGTATTCGGCGCATGTGACAAATAAAATGTGATTTGATTTGATGTTATGGAGGCTGGTGTATCAGGATTTTGACTTTCTATAACGTTCAGATTCATCCTTACAATTGAAAGCATTCAAACGTCCAAGACGTGAACTACGAACATGACCACATCAGCGATTATGTACTGGTCCTCCAATCACTGCACTGAGATGTACTTTTCAAAGCCATGCTCAAGGCTACTATCAATCACATCAAATAGGATAACTATTTTCAAAGTACTTGTTGTGGGTCTGGGGATGGCAAGGTCTTTTCATTAGCAAATTCCTGTCCAGAGCACTTAGCAGTAAGGGGGTTGGTGCCCAGTATGGCAATGGAAGAAAATTCAGGTCCGACTCTTTAAGAATTTGCAGCGCAGGCAATGAATGAATGTTGAGCAAAAGGCATTCCTACATAATTGTGTCACTCTCTCCAAACACATTCACAATGCATGTACAGTACCCCTTCTCCTTTGCATTAAAATGCCTCTCTTTCATGAATTATTAAAGCAGTGTAGGAAATAAAGACAAAACATCACTTAGGATGTTCCACTCAGCTATAATGTGAGAAAACAATTCAACCAAGCTCTGGCAAACCAACCACAATGATTGAGCTTGCTGTAACATCGTGGCAACTTACTTAGCTCATTGCTCCTCATGGAGCGGCGGGTAGCCTAGCGGTTAAGCGTGTTGTGCTAGTAACCGAAAGGTCACTGGTTCGAATCCTCGAGCCAACTAGGTGAAAAATCTGACGATGTGCCCTTGAGCAAGGCACTTAACCCTAATTGCTTCTGTAAGTCGCTCTGGATAAGATTGTCTGCTAAATGACTAAAATATAAATGTAGTGGAGACTGGTGTGGTGGTTAAATTTAGATACATGGGCCATGAGGTGACAGGTTTATAAACAACGCTTCCATTTACGCTGCTCTTAGCAAGTATCTCATAACTCCCATCTAGAGTTACGGCCAATGAGGAAATCAGATCATCAGCCCCCCCCCAATCAATATACACACGATACCCCATAATGACAAAGCCAAAAACAGTTTTTTATACATTTTTTCTAATGTATTCAAATAAATTGTTGCTATGATACTCGAAATTGAGCTCAGGTGCATCCTGTTTCCATTGATCAGGCACACACCGGTCTATATAAGGTCCCACAATTGACAGTGCGTGTCAGAGCAAAAACGAAGCCATGAGGTCGAAGGAATTGTCCATAGAGCTCCGAGACAGGATTTTGCAGAGGCACAGATCTGGGGAAGGGTACCAAAAAATGTCTGCAGCATTGAAGGTCCCCAAGAACACAGAGGCCTCCATCATTCTTAAATGGAAGAAGTTTGGAACCACCAAGACTCTTCCTAGAGCTGGCCTGCACGGCCAAACTGAACAATCGGGGGAGAAGGGCCTTGGTCAGGGAGGTGACCAAGAACCCAATGGTCACTCTGACAGAAGTCTAGAGTTCCTCTGTGGAGATGGGAGAACCATCCAGAAGGACAACCATCTCTGCAACACTCCACCAATCAGGCCTTTATGGTAGAGTGACCAGACGGAAGCCACTCCTCAGTAAAATGGTACATGACAGCCCGCTTGGAGTTTGCCAAAAGGCATCTAAAGGACTCTCAGACCATGACAAACAAGATTCTCTGGTGTGATGAAACCAAGATTGAACTCTTTGGCCTGAATGCCAAGCGTCACGTCTGGAGGAAACCTGGCACCATCCCTACGGTGAACCATGGTGGTGGCAGCACCATGCTGTGGGGATGTTTTTCAGCGGCAGGGACTGGGAGACTAGTCAGGATTGAGGGAAAGATGAACGGAGCAAAGTACAGAGTACCTTCGCCCCTCAGACTGGGGCGAAGGTTCACCTTCCAACAGGACAACGACCCTAAGCACACAGCCAAGAGAACGCAGGAGTGGCTTCGGGACAAGTCTCGGAATGTCCTTGAGTGGCCCAGCCAGAGCCCGGACTTGAACCCGATCAAACATCTCTGGAGAGACCTGAAAATAGATGTGCAGTGAATCTCCCCATCCAACCTGACAGAGCTTGAGAGGATCTGCAGAGAAGAATGGGAGAAACTCTCCAAATACAGGTGTTCCAAGCTTGTAGCGTCATACCCAAGAAGACTTGAGGCTGTAATCGCTGCCAAAGGCGCAACAAAGTACTGAGTAAAGGGTCTGAATACTTATGTAAATTTGAAATTTCAGTTTTTATTTTTAATACATTTGCAGAAAAGTCTAAACCTGTTTTTGCTTTGTCATTATGGGGTAATGTGTGTAGATTGATGAGGATAAAAAACAATTTACTCAATTTTAGAATAAGGCTGTAACGTAACAAAATGTGGAAAAAGTCAAGGGGTCTGAATATTTTATGAATGCACTGTATGTCACCAGATAACACAGATGAAGCTAGCTACATGGGGTGATTTCAATCTATGCAGAGATTACAAAACCACTCACAATTAGCCTGGAAGCAAATCACGGTGGCTTCTCTGCTGGAGACTTCTAGTAGAAAAAGTAATTCAGCCTCTGAGTGAAGTAACAAGCAGATAAGAAAATAAGTTGGGAATGAGCAATATTGGAGTGTGCCAAAAAAAAAAATAGCCTAATAAATATACAGCTTGCTTTCTCAATGTAGACGGGAGAAATGCATAAGCACCTGGTTGGACAGCAAGGGGTCCATGTTTCCCTGCCTCAAACCTTAGAACTAGGCTATTTGACTATGCAGGATATAATTCACGGCTCCAGTTTACAGAGATGTTTGCCCTGTCTAGGCATCAATCAGACGTGTTGTCAAGTCAATAAAATGATTTGAGTAGTCTGAAAGGGAAAAGACAGCTCCCTTTAGGTCTTGTTTCAGCATCTTGTGTTTTTTCACTCCAAAAGCATTTAGATATTTTCTGTGTTGTGTCAGCAGTTGATTTTGATGTCTCTACCCAGAACATTCAGATATCCTCCCAATATTTGTTATGGAACCACCATGATAATTAATTACGATCACAGTTTGTTGAAATGAGCGAGATGTTTAGAACACATTGTTTTGGAACTCATGTTTTACATGCATAAAAGGTTTCTGTGGTACATACAGCACACTACAGGAAGGACATTTCTTGGAACTATTAATTTCACCATGCAAATGTAAATGGTGGTTGCCAATAATAATGCATACATAGAATGCACATTGAATGGGCTGAAATAGTGAACTTGTCTAATCCCCACGGGCCCACGTAGTGCATGTTAACATGAAATCACCTTAGAATGGCCATCAAATCTTAAGTCTCTCTCCATGCAGCACACACACATATATTGTAGTCTCCTTGCATGCTCTGTAAAGAGGTATCTGGAGCTTTATGAAATAGGATGTAGAGCCCTTCCTCCGTAACCACAGGGTCTCTGGTCCAAGCCCGGCTCCAGTTTACTCTCAATTGCTACCTTGGTGGCAGCGGTGGGATAACCATTCAGCTCTAAAGGTGTTATGCACAGGTTGCTTTCTATTTCAAAGTGTAATGACCTCTGCTTTACCAAGAGGTCTGGACCTTCATGGCCAAAAGCTGTACTACACCAGCCCTAAAACTGCAGGGTTAATGGTTCAAGCCTCGTTGTTCCCCCTCAATCACTACACTATCAACAGGTCCCACTTGCTGTTCACACATGATCTGGTCAACCATATGGTAAAAGAGGGCAACCTCATCATACAATAGGTTTGTCGTATCGTTTACTCAACCTGACTGAAAATTGAGTTGATGTTCCTGGGTTGCACTTTGCACTCAAAATGCCAGCTTGTCACTTCCCAAGGGGAGAGAGAATGATGTCGTCACAAGTCAACCCCAAATTGGCAACCAAGCTGACAAGATGTTTAGCAATGATTCAGCCCCTACTGCATCTCACAGACTCGTTTACCTACGTCTTATTACCTGCGGCATGATGAATAAGGACAGCTTGACCGCAGTCTTACCTAGCTTTCCCCGAGACTCCTCCAGCTTCTGGATTTGGTTCTCCAAGAAGAACATGGCCACTGCGAATGCCAACAGCGCCAGAAGCTGAAACTTGGGCGGCATCATGATTCTTAGAAGCCCCATCAAACAATCCAGTAAGAACAGGTCATTCCATGTTCAAAAAATACTACATGAAAGGGTAATGGAATGGTCAATTACAGAGCGAACGAGTGTCTGTTAAAACCCTGGTTTTTCAGTATGGAACACACTCAGGTCCAAATTATTTGTTTCATACTATAATATACTCTCATTAAAGAGAACTGCATGCAACCTCAATGCCGTCTTCTTGATGTTGAGATGTCCCCAAAGGGTGTCAACAGAAGCGGGCTTGTGTTCCTCGGTCTCCGCGAGTCTTCCTCTGTAAAGCTGTCCGGTTCAGTTCACTCCGCACGCCTATCTTCGTCGGAGGACTTATTACTACAAAAACCCTATTGGTGGAATCAACAGTCCACTAAACTGAATAGGCTTTCATTCGTCAGTAGTCAAGTCTGTTAAAATGCGATTGGACACATTTTTAACAGTTCTTGAATTTGGCCACAGGGAGCACTGTCCACGTCGGAATGGAATGTAACTGTCAGTGACCGATAAAAAAAGAGAAGTAAAAGGTGCCTTTCTGTTAGCCATATGAAAAGAGGAATAAAAATGACAAATCATAACTTTTAGACGAATAACATAAACAACCAGATATTATTTTTTGCGAATATATGATAACATTTTGTTGAATATAAAGAGAATTACCAAAAAATGTACAGGACATTAGGCACTTGCTAGTAGCTACTACTTCCTACTTTTTAAGGGGTCCTCAGTTTGCTTCCGTAACAAAGCAATCGCCAAAATGTCGGGGGAGGTCTATATCCTGTGGCTTTTTTCTCTCATACAAACGGTAGGTTTATTAACAAAAATAAGCTAAGCCCAACGTATGCATTTGTCGTTTTGTTGCCGATTGCTCAGCTTGTATCGGATGGCAGGTTTTCTTTTGCTACACTCGATTTATACCCACTTCTTTGCTGCGACATTCGCAACTGGTATTACACCGAATGACGTGGCTTATAACAATTGTACCGGTTTAAAAAGTTTGTCCAGTTGTTTAGTTAGCCACATTTGGTAAAATTGATATTTAATTCCTTTGTAATAAATCTTAAACTTTAACACACATACTGTACTTCAAACAAACTGAGACTGCTCGCGTTCACTGAAGTGACAGGTGACAAAGTAAAGAGCCAATCATGGCGAGACAGCGGCTGCGTTTCTTCACAACGTTCAAGTCATGTGGAAAACATTTTACCTAGCCTGATTGTTGTTGTAGAATTTGAACATGGGTGTGTGACGATAAATGAACGAGAGTTTTAAAAAGGGTTACATGTTATATAAACACATCTTACATGTTTTTATGCAACTTACATCATTGTTAGAAGTTTCACGTTTTTTTTTCTTGCACTGCACAAGTACAGTGAAATGTAATAATAGAAAAAAATATGAAAAACACAAGTAAGTAAGCATACTATATACAGGGTTAGTTTCAATATCATATTTATAATGGGCAGGGATACTGGAGTAATGGAGGTAGATATGTATAGGGGGAAGGTGACTAGGCAACAATATATAAGATAAACAGAGTAGCAGCAGCTTGTATAGTGGTCTAGTGATAATTGTTTGTGTTTTTGTTGGTCAGAGGGAGAAGGCGCTCGGAGTTAAACAAATGGGGGAAAGAATTGTGAATTGTTTCGCTCTCAAGAAAAGGGCGCCTTTGAAAGGAGTGATTACTGGGGTAGGAGTAAATGTAAAAGTTTACCAACTGAAGGGGAAGATTCATTGTCTGTTCTTTTGAGTTTTGAAGTTGAGTCTGCCTGATAAAGTGAAGTTAGGATATATAAGTTATCCTGTACGAGCTTATGTGCCGAAACAATACGATGTTACAGGTGTCAAACTTATGGGCATGTGGCAGCAGTGTGTAGGAGGGAGGTTCCAAGGTGTGAGAAGTGTGCAGAAGGGCATGAGACAAAGGAATGTGTAGCATTGGGGAAAGTAGTGGTATGTGCTAATTGTAGGGGTGCCCATGGGGCTGGGGCTCAGAAATGTCCCGTGCGAGAGAGGCAGGTTGAGGTTTCCAGGGTAAGAGTAGTGAAGAAGTTGTCATATGCTGAGGCAGTGAAGAGAGTAGGGGAGGAGTGGTGAGAGTAGTAGATATGTACCAATACAGAGGGATAGGCCAACAAGTTATATATGTTTTAGTAAGATTGGATTTTTAGCATTTATAGCAATTGTTATTAATTGTACTGCAGGGATGGAACGTAAGTCCTCTGTAGCTCAATTGGTAGAGCATGGCGCTTGTAACGCCAGGGTAGTGGGTTCGATCCCCGGGACCACCCATACGGAAAAATTTATGCACACATGACTGTAAGTCGCTTTGGATAAAAGCGTCTGCTAAATGGCATATTAAGAAAATTGAGGTTGTGGTGGCAGCTGCAGAGAGGTATTTGGGTGTGCGAGACTTGACATCAGAAGAGTTACAGGGAGTGTTAAGTGGTGATGTCCCATCATTTCAGGTTGAGCACATGAGGTAGGAATGAATATATTTAAATAGTGGAGTAGGGTGGTGTTAATTATTAATAATATTTTTGAATTTGTGAGTGTAGTGTTAGACGGTAGGGTATTTATTTATTTTATTTTTCAAGCAAAATATAAGGGAGTTGTACTCCAGTCTAGTAGGTGGCGGTAATGCAACAAATTGGATGCCAACCGCCGTTAAACCTCATCGAAGAAGAAGCACTTGTATGTGAGTGGGTGTGCGTGTGTGTAGAGTCAGTATAAATGATTGTGTAGGGCCCTGTGAGTGTGTGTGTGATTGTGAAGGGCCCTGTGAATGTGTGTGTGATTGTGTAGGGCCCTGTGAGTGTGTGTGTGATTGTGTAGGGCCCTGTGAGTGTGTGTGTGATTGTGTAGGGCCCTGTGAGTGTGTGTGTGATTGTGTAGGGCCCTGTGAGTGTGTGTGTGTGTGATTGTGTAGGGCCCTGTGAGTGTGTGTGTGTGTGATTGTGTAGGGCCCTGTGAGTGTGTGTGTGTGTGATTGTGTAGGGCCCTGTGAGTGTGTGTGTGTGTGATTGTGTAGGGCCCTGTGAGTGTGTGTGTGTGTGATTGTGTAGGGCCCTGTGAGTGTGTGTGTGATTGTGTAGGGCCCTGTGAGTGTGTGTGTGTGATTGTGTAGGGCCCTGTGACAGAGCAAACATAAAAAGAAAAGGCCAATAAAGATACCATGGTTACCACCACCCCACTTTAATGTGAGATCCTCCACATTCCTGTTTGAAATACTAGCCAATACTCAATCCGTGACACTGTTGGCTCAATGGAAATTCACTTTTTTTTGAAAACGTAACATTAAGTGACAACCAATCCAATGTCTCTCCATTCTTTCCTGCTCAGCTTTCGGCCTATGGAGCCGACCTGTCCTCAGAGGCATGCAGGGAGCTGGGCTTCTCCAGTAACCTCCTGTGCAGCTCCTGTGACCTACTGGGAGAGTTCAGCCTGAGCCAGATCCAGCCTGTCTGCAGACAGTGCTGCCAGCAGGAGGCCCAGATGGAATCCAGGAAGGTAAGACATTGGGCTGCATTTAAACTGCAGGGTGTATCAACTATCAGTTATCCTTGTTGTCTCAGTCCATCCATCTGCACTGATTAGAAAAGACTTGCCAGGTGAAAATAATGTGTTGGAAGCTCATCAATAGGCTGACTTTCACCCGGTCAGTTCTTCTCAGACCAATGCAGATGAAAGAGAGGCTAGGAGAGGATGTAGTGAGCTGTATGAGCAAGGATCGACTCGTCACACATGCATGTCATGGGATCAGTTATGTCAGAATATGATTCCGTGGTACCATGTGCATTGTCCCTCTATGTGCCCAAACAAATATGAACAATTCTGATGTTCAGGCTTTGCCAGAAGATACCGACCCTACTGTTACGCTTGTTTACACTGAGCTGCACTGAGGTCGGAACACAATCATGGATCCGGTGCGAGATATGGGTCGGAAAACGTACCTAAATGCAGCTAGCACCGCAGGCATTTTGGAATGGCAGTGTCAGCCAATCAGCTCCTTTGTTGTTCAACGTGATGTGCCATTCTATAATGGCTGCTGTGGCTACTGCTAGCTAGCATGTGGACGAAAAGGGCAGTTTTCAGGAAAAAGTAGCAGTATTTCAATCTTCTCGATGGAGCAATGTGGATAAAGGTAAAATTTGGAGTACAGTGGCATATCCTATCCCTGCATTGAGGTACGTTTTCCAACCCATATCTCACTCCGGCTCCACGGTGTTTTAATGTAACCATAATTACGTTCCGGCCTCAGTGTAGCTCAGTGTAAACAAGCGTAACGTTTACGGGTCGGTATCTTCTGGCAAGTTCAGGCTCTACACCAGAGCAAAATGTTGTAAATAGATGCTGGACCACCTGAGTTTTTGCATTTTACATTTTTAGTCATTTAGCAGACGCTCTTATCCAGAGCGACTTACAGTTTAGTGAGTGCATACATCATTTTTTATACTGGCCCCCCGTGGGAATCGAACCCACAACCCTGGCATTGCAAACGCCATGCTCTACCAACTGAGCTACATCCCTGCCGGCCATTCCCTCCCCTACCCCCCTACCCTGGACGACGCTGGGCCAATTGGGCGCCGCCCCATGAGTTTCAGCTATATGGATTTTTTGTCCATATTGCTGAGCCCTTCTCATAACTGTGTTATAGATGTTATTATTAGTGTTGTTAGCTGTTATTAGTGCTATAGATGTTATTAGTGTTATAGATGTTATTCGATCGCTCTAGAGTGCCTATGATTGCTAAGAAGATGATCATCTTCACTACCAGCGCCCCAGTGTTTGAAACTTTGCCAAATGTTGCAGTTAATGCAGTAACACCCCATTGTACCCATGCCACACTATCCTTAGCATTAGAGCCGTGACGATACCAGTGTCGCGATACTCGTTAGTATCGTGGCAAGGAAACAAAACACGCTAGAGCACACAATATTTTACATACAGCAGGTTCTTAAAGGACTAAAATGTTTGGTCTGCTT